TGTGTGTGTGAGAGAGAGAATGGGAAGTGAAAGTGTACAGTAAATGCTGTGGTTTTTATGGTTTCTTAGTTGTCATACATAATTCCAGTTAAACCTGTTTTCTCAAAGAGAGATCCTGTAATTTCTTATTTTCTTCCACATCATCAAAAATTTGAAGTTATATGTTTTTGTGTTTGCACTGTCTGATGGTAGTCAGGACTGCATGAATATTCTAACGCACACACTTTGCTGTCTTGTAGTTGGTGACTTTGTTCCAGATGTGGGTAGTTCCTCTCTACTTTACTACCAAACTTCACTGGTGGAGGTTCCTGACCACGTGGTTTATCTTCTCTGTAATCACAGCGTACATTTCCTTCCGTGCTACCCGTAAGCCACTGGCCTGCACCACACCGAGGTAAAGCCATTGTTTACACTCACACGTTCCTGTAAATATACCCATTCCTCTCTCTGTGTGGGAACAGAATTGTCAGGAAAATTTCCTGATATATTCTGATTCAACTTTTTTGTTTGTGTAGGTTGGTGTACAAGTGGTTCCTCCTCCTGTATAAAATCAGCTATGCCACGGGAATAGTTGGCTACACTGTCGTCATGTTTACACTTTTTGGTATTAACCTAATATTCAGGTATGTATTGCACATTAGTTCAATTTTTTAAAAATGTCAGTGAATGTCAATCTACTGCAATTAAAACCCTTCAACTGGGAGACTATAGAAATATTTTTTCAGTGAAACACATTCTGAGGTTCTGTGATAGGTTGGATGCATCCTCTAGCACTTGGCTGCCACTAGATGGCGCTGTTTTCCATATTACGAGTTCTTTCCTCCTTCGTACTTGTCCATCTATGTGATTTGGTTTTTTGCTAATTTATGAAGTAAAGTACTTGATGTTGCACACACTGCGATTAAATTTTTTTTCCAGCGTAACTGAGAGCTGAGAGTATTACAAGGAGAAGCTTTAGTGAAAAGTATCTGTTTACTTGACTGACTACTTTGATGATGATTTTACCATTCAAAATCTCTCTTTCATTAAACCTGCCTTTTTTAACAGGCCTCACGTGTGCAGTGGGGGAAATAATTATTTGAGCCCTTCCTGAGTTTGTTCATTTTTTTGTAATTGAGACTGAATGAGCACCAAAAACCATTAAAACACACATTACAAAAGTTATACATTGATTTGTCCTTGAGTGCAATAAGTATTTGGTCCTGTACCACGCAGGCAGAATTCTGGCTCCCACAGATTGACACTGTGCCCATGTTCCACACAGATTAGTCAATCAATTACAGACACTGACTTACTATCTGGAGGCTTCACCTTCATGCTTTGCATGAGGATCAAATACTCATTTCACTCAGTGACAGACTCAGTGGCTGAGGCCAGTTTACTTTTAAGGTAGTGCATTTTTGTTTTTGGTTTATACTCTGTCCTCTCCATTAAAATAAAAATACTACCATAAGAATTAGTGACTGTTCATTTCTTTGTGAGCAACTTAAACCGGGGATCAAATAATTATTCCCGACACTTTATGTATAAAAAGGTGAATTACAACTGTCAGTTGATTCGTTTTATAGTACAGTGCTTTCATAAAATGTAATTTTCAGTTTGAAAATGTCATATGCTCTGTTTCACTGTTATCACTGTTTATGGTTTGATGTTCTGGGATCATCATAAAAGGATAGATTTCTAACAATTTTTAATTTTAGCTTGGTGAAATATAGTGATTTATTTATTTATTTTTAAACAGAGGGGAAAAAAGCCACAGTAAAACAGAAAATTGAAATTTTATAGTCTAGTCTTTCATGCAAAATGTAAAGCATTTGCCCGTCTTATGGAGCAAACTGAACTTCAGGTTGAATAACAACATTATCAGTCAGATGATTTCAGTACTGTGTTCTCTGTCCAGGATAAGTCCAGAGGATGCCATGGACTTTGGTGTTTCACTTCTCTTCTATGGACTGTACTACGGGGTCCTGGGAAGGGACTTTGCAGAGATGTGTGCGGACTTCATGGCTTCAACCATTGGGGTAAATGCGCAAATTTAAAACTGTATATTTTCTCCTGGCTGTAACCTAAAATTTAATGTAGCTTTTCCCTCCCGCAGTATTACAGTGCATCTGGCATGCCAACCAAACACCTCTCAGACAACATCTGTGCTGTGTGCGGTCAGCCCATCCTTGTCGATGTCAGTGAGGAAGGGATCATTGAGAACACATATCGATTATCTTGCAACCATGTGTATCCTTCCTGTGACATTTACTGACACATTTTCGTGCCTTTTAATGGTTACCGCTGAAAGAGAAGTTCAGGTGCGTGATGGAGAATTCTGTTGGTATAAAAGGTATGTCGTGGGTTGGCATGGAACTACACTGTGTACTCAAATTAACAGCTTAAAGAGGAATTGCCAGGGTTTACCTGACCTTTATGCCAGACTGTTGATGTCTCTGTTACTTCCCCAAGGATCTGTTGTGTGTTGTAAATGATACACAGTGCCATTTCACGATTTTTGTTTTGTTTGTTTGTTTTGGATCAAGTTTGACACGTTCCTTGATGTATTCTTTATAGGAAATCAACTTTCTATTTAAAATGCTGTTTAAAATTTACCTCTATCTTATTTCCTTACAAAAAGATGTGATCAAAAATGCATTATCCACACCTGAAGATTATTCTTTTATTACACATAAAAGCAACACCAGGTTTAGATAAAAAAACAAAAAACAACACATATTTGCAAAGTGAAATGTAATTATTAATTAATAGTGCAGTACAAGTGTCTCGCCCTACAGTGCAGTGCTATCTGTAGTTAAACTAGCGCAGGAAATTATCCTTTGTCCTTAAATTGTACTATTGTTTTGTATAAATAATTTAGTATCAGATGAATGTTGTCCTTTTGACTGGTATTAGAGCATTAATGTTGGATGAATGTTCAAAGATCTCCGAGTATTAAGTATTTGAGCCTTAACTCCAAATCCAGGTTCCATGAATTCTGCATAAGAGGATGGTGTATCGTCGGGAAGAAGCAGATGTGTCCGTACTGCAAAGAGAAGGTGGATCTGAAGAGGATGTTCAGTAACCCGTATCCTTTTTATTCTGGGATTTTGTCTGCATTAGTTACATTTTTTTTTTTTTAAAACTAAATATTGAATGATTCCTGAATTAGTTGTAATTTCAAAGATTCTAATGAAATAATAACTTTCTGCATAAAAATGCTGACAAAAACAGACCCTGTGAAGATTTTGAATTTACTTTTAAGTCCAAAACTAAGTATGACAGATGAGATCTGACAAAGCACTGAAACCTAATTACGCCAAGTCACAGCGCGCGCGCGCGCGTGCGTGTGCGTGCGTGTGCGTGTGTGTGTGTTTTCCAGACTGCTAAGTACAGGCTATTTCAAACAAACAAAAGCAAAGCATAAATTGTATACGAGGTTCCTGTTCCTTTTTGTGGGTTGGAAAAACACTTTATATAACTGACAAATACATGTTATATATAATTAATGATTTCTCAGGAGCTAATGAAGATTTCTGCTTCCTTGCGTTATCACTGTGGTTACATGTTGACCTCTTGTTCTCCATTTATTTATCATTTCTGATTGTTGTCAAGGGTTATTTCCTTAACCATTTCTATTCTAGCTGGGAAAGACCGCACGTCATGTACGGACAACTTTTAGACTGGCTTCGGTACTTGGTGGCCTGGCAACCTGTTATTATTGGATTTGTGCAAGGTATCAACTACGTCCTGGGTCTGGAGTAGCCGGCAAAAACCGGCAGAAACGGACACGCATACCATGTGGAGAAGATTATGCACTGGCTCAAAAAGACTGAGGGCCTAACATTGAACTAAAACACCAATTTAAAAAAAAAAAAAAAGTGTCTATACTTTTTGTACATATTTATAGGCACATATCTGTATTTGCAGTTTATTTGAATTTTCTTAGTAACCTAAAATTGGATGTGTGTCTCATTTTCCCAGGATTTGATTGGTCTGTATCTCATGGCCTAGTAAAGCGGTTTTTGAAATCATTAGAGGGTTTTTTTTTTTACTAATTTATGTCTTAAGTGTTAAAAGGTTAAAGGATCATACTGGAATGTGTCATCCTTGTGTCTGATGGTTATCAAACATGAGTAATAAGTATTTCCTCTGGACTCCTAAATATATGAACACTATATCCACAGACATTAGTTTCGCATCTGCTTTAGTTGCAATTCCTGCTTCACATCGGTCACGTATTTTGACCACAAGTGGCACCAGTTTCATAAGGGCCTGTCATATGCCTCGTGGAGCCAAGTTGTAATCATATGTCAGAAAGTACTACTCATATTGGTAAGAACGGTACCTCCTACATTTACGATGGAAATTCTAGTGTTACTGGAATCCATGATGTCCTCTTTTAGGGAAACACCAATCTTTAGCCAAGTAGTAACAGAGTCATTTTGGTTTGACCTTTATCCAGTGTCTCAGCATATGTGAGTGCTAAGTTAAATTCCCTTGCATTGTCTTGGTGTAGCAGAGATGATGATAAGGGAGGCAAATTTAAGTCAAAACTGTGTGTGGAGAGAAATAAACAATTCAAAGTTATAATGTAACTGAACTAAAATCCATCAAAAGTATTCAAATTAAATTTAAGATGAAAAATATCCCAGAATGATCCTTTAACCGGTGAGCATGCAGATGGGGACGGTCTTATTTTCACGTGGTATGTGCATTAACTTCCATCCTGAAATCTCTGGAAGAGAATGGTTGGTAATCTTTTTGTGGGTACCTGTCAGACTAAATGCATAAAGCAGTTGTTTTAGGGCCCATTTGTGCACCTCACCACCAGCTTAAATGATAAAAGGACTGGGTGTAACCAGACCAAAATATGATCATTTTGTTTTGATCCAGACCGATTAATAAATGTCACTTCGATCATGTGTGTTTTGTCCATATGTCTGCGAGGTAGCATTCACAACCCTCCATAATGTCACAAAGAATTAGTCAGCACATCTCATTTGTACTGTGTGGGTGAAAAGGGAAGTTGAGTTAAGTGCGTGTGTGTGCCCGCATACATATATATACAGTAATCTGAAACACTGGTCAGCAGCAAAAGACTCGAGGAATCGATATGAAGCTCTCATCTGCTGTGAAAGGTAAGGACTTATTATGATACCAAACAGTTTGTTTTTCTTTGCATTATATTCGCTGGTGAACGCTTTGTCTCTCTAACAGTTCTGGGATCTCTGTGTCTGCTGCTCGTAGATGGATTTCCAGGTACAAAATAGTTATGTAATAGAAAAAAGTTTTTTTTTTTTTTTTGTGTAGTAAGATTTTTAACCTTAGAATGTTTTGCAGTTTCTGAAGATGAATCTCCAGAGATAATTGGACCAGGGTTTGTCCAAATAAAAACTCATCCAGGTAACGCATCAAGCCTCTTTTGATGGGACAGGCTGTGTAGTTGTGAAACCTTTCTTCGATGTATGGATGTGTTCTGCCTCCTAGGTGCACCGCTGGTGCTTCACTGTGATGCGTTTGTAAACTGTGAGGACGATATGACTCTAATCTACTGGCTTGTCAATGACACCTTCCCCGAAGACGCCCCCAGCAGCGACAGGATAAGAGAATCTAATGAGTGAGTATCTTTGTTACAATTACAGTGGAAGTGTACATTAAATTAAAACAATTAAAACAGTCTGTAGCTGGGCTGTAATGGCTGTGTTTTCATTAGATCCACTCTAGAGGAGGGTGCAATCCTTCAGAGGAGTTTGCTGTTGAAGAACATCACATCCGAGGACCTCAAATCCACCTTCACGTGCGTTGTGACAAATGCTGTGGGAGTGGCCCAAAAACACATTAAATTAATATCAACACGTGAATGACTGAAGATAGTAAATGACAACTGTGTAAAAGATCTTGATTTTCTGTCCTCTGCCTTGTGATATAAGTCATGTCTGTCAAGAGTCAACATTGCATGTCAGCATTTTCATGTAATACTTTTGTTTGGCAACTTGTGGATGAACTCTGCTGAAGAGCTGGGGCCTGTTCTTCGTACCGCGCTAAGTGAGTTAGCTGGATTTGATTGTTGACGATTTCGCGTGATCCTGGATCGTTCGGTTCCCCGAAGCCCATCCGGGACTTGCTGTCATAGCAACAGAGCCGTAAGCGTAAACCTGCTGGGGAGCAGGTTTACTTTATGTAAACAGGATTAGATCGCGGCCACGCAGGTATGTCCGCGTCATTCATACGAAAGCAACAGCGATATTCCACCACTGTTTCACCATAAATAAATAACATCAATGTAACTAAAGATAATGCAGCACTTGATCCTTTTATTGATTTCACACAGATACATACAGGTCATTTCCTAAAAAAGGGAAATGTACTATTAACATTCTATTACATGTATGTGATTATTACAGATGTAATTCATATTTCAGAGTAGTAATTGTAAATTACTTCGTGTAATCAAGATCAGAGACCACGGCTATAAAAGCGAAGGTGGATTTGGGAAGCCTGTCGCAGTCATATCCTGTCCGTTTACGCGAGCAACCCATTGCGGAAGGTGCAAGATTGATAAGGAGAGTCCTCAGAATTCAGCGTATATTGCGGGACAGACAGGATCCTTTAGCTCAGCGCGACAGTGTGCTCATAGAGATATCGATTTTCCCGTGAGGGTATTATTCACTTAACCAACTTGTTGACGAGGGGGTGCAGGACCACCACCTGTCTTTTTTTTTGCTCTGCCCTTTTCTTGGTTGCTGTTATGAACAAACAAACAGAGTATTCCAGGGTCTCTTTCCAAGAGACTAAAAGCAATATAAGTGATAAATATTACCATTCTGTAGAATATTCTTATATTTCACTTTTACTTGTTCCCATGTTCTAGTGGGTCCTGTTGTGGCTCTAATGTGAAAGGGGATATAATATAACATATTATAATATAATATAATGTAATATAATATTGGATAATATGGTGTGATATGATAAATCTACCCTACCGCCTACTGGTGTTGGCCAGAGGGGCCGATGGCGCAATATGGCAGCCTGGCTTCTGTCAGTCTGCCCCAGGGCAGCTGTGGCTACAACCGTAGCTGTCTCCACCAGTGTGTGAATGTGAGAGTGAATGAATAGTGGCATTGTAAAGCGCTTTGGGTGCCTTGAAAAGCGCTATACAAATCCACTCCATTATTATTATTATTATTGAATTACTTACGAGTTTGATTTGTCAGCAACTTTCTGCCAGCCCTCTCTCTTTGCTTTTGCAGCCTTTGCAGTGTTCCCTTGCGTTTTAATTAAACTCTGAAACTCCTGAAATCCCTCACTCAAGAGTTCTTGCTCTGCTGCCGAAAAATACCGAGCGCGCTCCTTCGACATTTTCGCCGACCAATCAAAGGGTTGCCGATCAATGTTTTTACTATCGATGGTAGCCCCTGTTGGGCCACCCAGTGATCTCACATTACTTCATCCAGCTATACTAATCGTCAACAACAGGTGTGTTCGGGGAACCGGAATAGCGAGCTCAGAGTTAGCGCGATGATTTGGTCTTGGATGTTTCATTTGATCTTGGATGTAGTAAGCGACGTACGAAGCACAGGGCCCTGGTTGGTTCAAAACCTAAACTCCAGTTACGCTCAAAGGTAAAGCAAGTAGCTGCTGAATGCTCTCCTTTATATCAATCTGACAAACATACAGAGGCGCCATCTGATGTAGCAGTGTTGTGGTCCAGTTGTAACTACACTTACCCACCTTACAGTCATTTAGACGACTGTACCACACAGTGAATGTGTTGAATGTTGTGTCAGCAAACTGTTTTCTATGCCTGTGTACGGTTCCTGTACTTGCTGAAAAAATATATAGTGAAAATTAAATTTAGATACTTTTAAATTAATAACCATGTTTTCCTTGAGAGTTACTGTTATTCACACTTAGATGTTTGAAATAAGCCAACTGCTCACTATTCCTAATATCTGAGTAAGCATTTCCACCATCTGTGCAGCAGAGGTCAGCAAAGCAGCTTTCTTCCTCAACCTTGTTTTGTTGGGGACTAGATTTAGTTTTGTAGACGCAGTCAACATGCCAATGTCTAAGTTGTGTTTAATCTTTTTTAGATTTATGCTTGAAAGCAGATGTAATTTCTATTGATAAATAGCAGCTCATTTAATTTGATTTGAAGGAAAAAAAAAAAACAATAAAAAAAGAGTTTTACTTAACATTGATTTTGTTCTTGAGTTAAAACTAGTTATCAAATATCACCGGGTCTTTATATTGATATCTGAAGCAGATTCATGAGAAATGTGATTAAAGCTACAGGAGTCCATATTCTTTTTAGTTATGTAGTTTAAGCTATAGAAGAACTCCTTAATGACATGTCGAAAGACACACGTCGTGGTTGTGGAAAAGATGTTAGTGTGTTTGAGAAGGGTCAAGTCATTGGCAAACATCTAAGGAGATTGCAGAAATTGCTAAAACTGGGTTAAGAACTGTCCAATGTGTTATTAAAAAGTGGAAGTATATTGGGGGCCCATCGTCTTCGAGGAAGAAATGTGGCCAGAAAACCCCCTGAATGATCGTGATCAGCGCTCACTTAGACATTTGGTGAAATCACATCAAAGAAAAACTACAGTAGAACTCAGGGCTATGTTTAATAGTGAAAGTAAGAGCATTTACACACGCACAATGCGAAGGGAACTTAAGAGATTGAGTCTGAACAGCTCTGTAGCCATAAGAAAACCACTAATCAGTAAGGCAAACCGGAAAAAAAGGCTTCAATTTTCAAGGGAGCATAAAGATTGGACTCTGGAACAATGGAAGAAGGTCATGTGGTCCGAGTCCAGATTTAGCCTGTTCCAGAGTGATGAGCGCATCAGGGTAAGAAGAAAAGCAGATGAAGTGATGCACCCATAATACCTAGTGTCTACTGTACAAGCCTGTGAGGGCAGTACTATGATCTGCGGTTGCTGCAGTTGGTCAGATCTAGGTTCAGCAACAGTATGTGCTCCAAGAATGAGGTGAGCTGACTATACTGAATGACCAGGTTATTCCATCAATGGATTTTTCCTTCCCTGATGGCCCGGGCATATTCCAAGATGACAATGCCAGGATTCATCGGGCTTAAATGGTGAAAGAGTGGTTCTGGGAGGATGACACATTTTCACACACGGATTGGCCACCAGAGTCCAGACCATAACCCCATTGAGAATCTTTGGGATGTGCTGGAGAATGGTCAGACTCTAACATCGTTAACGCACGGTGAAAAATTAATGCAACACTGGATGGAAATAAATCCACCGCAGAAGCTTATTGACACAATGCCACAGTGAATGCGTGCTGTAATCAAAGCTAAAGGCGGTCCAGTGAAATATTAGAGTCTGTGATCTTTGTTTTTCTAGCCAGGCAGTGTATCTTTTGCTCTTTGGCTGTTCATCTCCCCTTCTTGTCTGCTTTTTGCCTCTTTCCTTCTTTCAGAACACTTTTCTTTTTTTTCTCCTTGATCATACTTCACATTACGGTTATATGTTCACGTTTGTCTAAAAACAAAAAAAAATGTAATCACAATAAAAGCGTAACGACTGCATGAATAACTAAATAATGCAAGAGGTCAACAAGCAGTTAGAATGAACTCAGAGTAAAAGCATTAGTCAGACACTTTTATTATAATATTGATCCTTATTTTTTAAGCAGATTTTAGAAGGTAGATTATTTTTATAGACTAACACATTTCAGGCACAGCAACAGCAGCAACACAACCCCACACTTGACAAAAGAATTTACACATTATCAAGAATCTTTGATCCTAGATGCACTATGTAAAATAAAACAAAAACACAAAAACCCCAAACTTCCAATATAAGGCACCTTAATCTCACACCTTTTCTAAAACAAACATCACTTTAAAATCTTCGCTTTACACATCCTTGTTATGTCTGACGATTTTAAAAGTCTAAAAATAAGCATTTGTACCCTTAGTTTAGCTCCCTTAAACTCGATAGTGTTTACGTTGGCTGAACACTGATCACGTTGTCATAATGTAGAGAGACTGCAGCTCACTGTGCAGCCAGCTTTTTGAATTCATTGAAGACTTGGACATGAATAATTCTACGCAGTCATCAGCATTTAACAGTCAGTTAAACTGGACACTGAGCCCAGTGATTGTGACCCGAGCTCCTTCAGGCAGCAGTGCAAGTTTCTATTCCTCTCAGGATTCTGACTGTCTTTCATTCTCTTCCTGATGAGAGCAGCAGCATCTCCAGTGGCAGTTGGCCACTTTAAGGGAGAGGTGAAGAAGGGCTGCAGAAGTTCCTGGTTGGTTTTAAGTGTCATTCCAAACAGGAAACGCAGAAAAATGTCCAATCTGCCGTCCTCGCACTGCAGACTCCTGTCCACAGCGTTCTTGTACATCTCCGAGGGTGTGGGCCCCCTGAACATCCCCTTAACTTTATTTTTCGGTTTCTCCTCGAAAACGTTCTTCCCGAGATTTGCGAAGGTGAGCATTGCATAAAGAGCAGCCAGGTACTCCTGCATGGTGGGGTGGATAAAGCTCAAGACATTCTCGTTGACCAGCACGTATGGCTTTGTGACATACTGCGTGCACAGGCCTGTGTAGGGCACTGCCTCCGGATCGTTGATGCCATTTTCTTTCCAGTTAGTCTGTGTTATCTTGTACTGGCCGCGTTCCAGCATCGAGAAGGCCAGCTTTCCAAGTTTAATAAGAAAGTCTCTCTCTTTATCGACGCTGTTTTCTGGAGCTCTCCATTTGCGATTCTGACGCAGGAGTGCAAACAGCAGCTTTGTGTACATGTAGGTGATGCTGTTTGGCAGCTCTGCGTGTGTGCCCTTTTCTTTAAATACGTGCTGGCACTCATCGGCCACTATAGAGCAGAACAAGGGCAGGTGGCACATGATACGGAGGGTTTTGGTAGAATTGATATAATCAATAACTCGAGCTGCTTGGTTTGAGTCCTTAAACCTCTTCTGAAAGTACTCGTCCCGTTGAGTGTCACGGAAACCAAGTACTTCTATCTCATTGTAGTGCATATCCCATGGGACGCAGGCGTGTACATATG